CCCCCACACCACCCCCATCCACTAGCAGCATCGACTCAGCCTCAGACTCCCGGGAGCGCAGTGTCAAGGGTGAAAGTGTCCTGCAACGTGTGCAGAGCGTGGCTGGCAACAGCCAGTGCGGTGACTGTGGCCAGTCAGACCCCCGCTGGGCCAGCATCAACCTGGGAGTGCTGCTCTGCATCGAGTGCTCTGGCATCCACAGGTGCTTCCACCCCCAGCAGGGCAGGGGCTGGGACCTGTGAGAGCCATGCTCTAACTCATTCCCTGCCTCTTGCTGTCCAGGAGCTTGGGTGTCCACTGCTCAAAGGTGCGATCTCTGACACTGGATTCATGGGAGCCAGAGCTGCTAAAGGTGTGTGTGTGGGGGGTCTCTTGGCTTCTGAGGTGGGGATGAGGGATGGGGCTGGGGCCAGCACTGGAGCCTGAGCGCTTAAACCAACACCTGCATGCCCTCATTTCCTGTGCTAGCTGATGTGTGAGCTTGGAAACAGCACCGTGAACCAGATCTACGAGGCCCAATGTGAGGGTCTGAGCAATAGGAAGCCCACAGCCAGCAGCCCCAGGTGAGATGGGATAGAGCCCCGATTGGGCAGGGGAGCCCCAACCTATGCGTGCAACCTCATGTTCACTCCTGGTCCAGGCAGGACAAGGAGGCCTGGATCAAGGACAAATACGTGGAAAAAAAGTTTCTTCGAAAGTTGCCCACGGCGCCAGCCCGGGAAGCCCCAAGGCGCTGGCGGGCACAGAAATGCCAGCGTCCTCATAGCTCCCCCCGTGCCCCTGCTACCCGTCGCAAGGTCCGGCTTGAGCCTGTCCTGCCCTCTGTTGCTGCTCTTTCTTCAGGTGGGAGGCCGTCCCTCAGCTCATATACTTGGGCAAAACTGGGGAGTGGGTTCCCTCTGGCTAGGAGAATGAGCTGCCAACCTTAGATGCCAGGGTGGGCTTGGAAGCAGAGGCTCACAAGGGCACTCGAAGCAGGCATTCTGCCTGACTCCCAACATGTCTTGGGGTGCCTTACTCTGGGCCTCAGTTTCCTCATTTGAACCTTTGCCCTGTCCCCTGCAGCAAGCACCCTGGAGCGCAAGTTCCGCCGAGATTCACTCTTCTGCCCAGATGAGCTGGACTCACTCTTCTCCTATTTTGATGCAGGGGCTGCTGGGGCTGGTCCACGCAGTAAGTGCTGGGGGCGGCTGTGCCTCTGCTACCCGTGCCCCTGAGCCCAGCCAGGGTAGCAGAGCAGGGTCCAAATGAGGCTTGTCTGGAGAATGGACAAGTATGGGTAGCACTTGTTTGAGGACTGGAAGGATAGGCATTTCATGCTGAAGAGATTAGGCGGAGGCAGCAGTGTCACAAGGAGGCTGTTCTGGGGGTGGGAAGAATTGGGTAGTTGCAGAGCTGAGGCTGAAATAGCATCTTAAGGGGGTGGGGTGGAGATATTTTGTCCATTAACCTGGAAGCGGAGGCCATGACCATCAGGAATGATGCGTGGGGGGACCAGCTGGTAGCATGGTGGTTAAGGTGGCCTGATCCCACAGGGCTAACTACGGGGTTTGATTCCCAGACCTGGTGGCTTGAAAAACATGCTGGGTGCATGTGTATGCATGTCCTGAATCTCTAGAGAATGGAGGAAAGGGGATTTTGGCATGGCCATCTCCCATATTGGCTGCTTTCTCACTTTCTCTCTCTGTCTCTGCTGAATGCAAATTAAAAAAAAAAAAATGTGTGTGCGTGTGAGTATGTGGGGGCTGTTATGCATCAGGAGTGTATATGTGGGTGTGTAAATCTGTGAATGTGTGTGTGCCATTTAAATGCAGGTATATGCATATAGGCATGCATGTATGTGTATGTGTGTGCATGTGTGCTGGGGGGGGCTGTGTGTGATCGCTGATAGAGAAGGAAAGGGGGGATGATTTGGGCCAGCAGGTGGCATGGTGGTTAAGGTGTTGAATCCCACATGGCTGATTAAGTGGTTCAAATCCCAGACCCAGTGACTTGAAAACCACACCAGGTGTTTGTGTGTGTGTGTGTGTGTGTGTGTGTTTGTGTGTGTGTGT